AACCCCCTCATGGGTAACTTCTGCCTCTTCATTATTTATGAGCATGATACCTTTATTAGCCCTCGAGGCCCTGTGGCATATGGGTAACCTTTGCTCAGGGCTTTGCAGTGATTCAGCCTGACGAGGTCTGGCCCATGCCAAAGCCATTCCCGTACCACATGCAGCACCTGCAGCAAGAAGGAATTCTGCTGACACCCACATCTGTCCCCTTGCCCTCATGGGGACAGGGGCAGAGGAGACTCAGCCACTGCAGGACACAATATCTTATCAAGTGGGTCTATCCCTGCAAGTACACAGTTAAACAGAGGGAGGTACAGCCCTTTACCAGGAACAAGCTGCTCAGATTAGTCTGTTCAGAAATTACAGTTTGTTGTGTTTTTTTTTGTGATAGAGAGAAGTCTCATTTCCCTTCTTCATTTATTCCCCTTGAAAGAACTTTTAAATGCTAGGAAGAGCCTTCATTATCTTCTGTGATCCCCAAGTCTGTTGCAGTGGAAATATATCCACATCCATTAGGCTGCAGCACATCAGAGAGATTTTTGGCTCAGGTTTTTTATTGTGCTTCTGAGCAGATTCTCAGTTTCTTGAATTTCTTGTTCATAAAGGTCTGCAGGAATTAATTGGTAATAAAGAAATGGGGCCCTGTTTCAGTGCATTGGTTTCCACGTGCACTTCAACTGTTGACTCACAGCAAGTCAGACGTGTGCAAGTGCTTTACTGAACAGGCACCTAGAAACAGAGATGTGAAATGCAGTTTCCAAGCTGTGGGGTACATACGGGTGTGATGGAAGCACCACCATCCATCAGGTCAGGCAACCATGCAGCAAAGCACGCAGCGCACTGGGAACCACATCCAGAGCACTGGTATTCCTCTGTGCAATGAGCTCTTTGAATCCAGGGGTAGGGAGCTGCAAAAGCGAGTGAGCCGGGAAGACAAGTGTGAGAAGAATTGGATTTCTGATCACTGTGCATTTTGTTAATTAGTGAATTCAAATAGTTTTATTTTTACCAAAAACAGATAATCTTTATTCCAGTAAAGACAACTGTTGACTTGAAATATATATATATATATATATTATTTGAATGGTTTATATCCTGTTGCTCTAACTACATAAAATGGAAACATGTTGCAAGTTGTGTCATTCCAATGTACAAAATAAATGACTTTTTCCCTGCATGCTGCCTGGGTATGTTGTGATTTGAATTAAGAGTTATATTTGAATTGCCTTATTCAAGAGGTTGTATGTTACCTAACTTGGGAATGACCTGGCACTGTTCATCACATTACATGTGTACTTGATGCTGTGTTATGTCAAATTCAGATGAGTTGTCTGTCATCTATGTATTTCGTGGGAGACCTTTTACCTTGTTAAACTGTGGTATGTAAACCTCTCATTGCCTGAAATAGTCAGAGTTGTATAAATCAGTGTCTTCAGCTGTTTTCCTAATTTTATCACAATTCCTAACACAAAATATAGATGTTTGTAAATTCTTCATTCATTTTGTCTATTTTTATGTATGAGGCTTTTTTAATCTGGCAAAGGAGTAAGACAAGGCAGCTTCCCTCAAATTTTTCAATCAAGGCTCAGTTACATTCTATCCCTCAGCAAGACGCAACAAACAATTTGCAGCATCCACAGTCGGAATTAGGGACGTGTGTTTATTGCTATTATCTTCTCTGGCTCAGATGGGCCATTATCACTGCAGAACACAATGATTAATGACAAGCCAGGCATGATGCTTCTGTAGTGACAGCCCTCTGGGAACCAGGCGCTTTACAGCAGCTTCTTCAGGCCCCACACCTCCGCTGTGACATGGGTTGGGTGGGAAGGGAGAGGTTAGATGTCCCTGCCACAGCCAGGCAGCCTGGAGGAGAAAGGGGAGAGATGCTGTTTACTAATCCTGGCTTCAAAGAGCTTTTTTTTTCCTTACACAAGGTACCCCAAGACTGTGCCTGCCCTCCTGCATGATACCCTGGCCATAAAAAACACATCTTGTCTACTGTGGTTCTAGGCAACCTGGTCTAGTTGAAGATGTTCCAGCTCATTGCAGGGGTTTGGAACTAGATGACCTCTGAAGGTCCCTTCCAACCCCAACTATTCCATGATCCTATTCATTAATCCCATGGCTGCATCATATCTCTGAAGACCAACATCCTGTCCTGATGCTGTGCAAAATCCCCCACAATGGCTTTGGGTTCAAGCCATGATCATGTTACTTTGTGGCTGGTTAACAGCAATGTTAACATCATGTACAGATCAGACCCTTTGGAAAACATGCAGTGCTGTGGAAGGAAGCAGCACAAGGCAGACATTAATCTGTTTCAACAACAGCACAAGGACAAGAAGTGATCCAATATCCCCATGCAGCTCTGCCATATCACCCCAACTGCAGTGTCTTTTGGTTGCAGCACCATGTGGCCGAGAAACAGAAGCCCAGCTCCAGCCCTCAGTTGAACAGAGTATTTCTGAGCATTTTCCCTCCATGCCTAAAATGTCAAGCAAAACAGTTGTTGAGAGCTTTAAAACACTCCTGGCAGAGCCAGCCACGGTCCCCACTTAGTTGTAGAGGTACCACATCATCCTGAACACAAGCAGAATAAATGCTTCAAGCATAATAAACCACACTGAGGTGTCTCAATCATGGTGTAGAAGCCCTGCTGTGCAATCCCCACTCCTCCGGTTTTTGCCCATCACTGCATAACTGCACTGCATGAAACACTGCTCAGTAACCATAGAAACTCATGGGCAGGGAACTAAACTCCTGAATCACAACAAGCCATGGTGCTGGGTTATTGATTCCCTTTTCAGGGCTTCCTGTGCTAAAAAATGTCCTGTCCCATCCAGAAACACACCTCACTTTTTTCCTTATTTTCCCTTTAGTTTTTGAGGGCATCAGGTTTCAAGGATGCTGCTGTTGAAAGGGAGATGCATTGGGAAAGGCTGGGGTAGTACATGGAGGAGGTTGTCAGAGCAGCACCCCAGAGAAGATGGACAAGAGGAACGGTAACACCAGCTTTGCTACAGGCACACCCCATTTTTTGGGGGGGGGTTAAGTACAGGGTAAAAATGTGAAATTTTTGCCTTATCCATTCAGGTGCTCTCAGCAAGACCCCAAAGGTGTCTGTGGTAACACCCTACCATTCCCTGCTTCAATCCCTGCTGATGAAAGGCACCATCTGGAAGTCATGGAAAGAAAGGGAAGAGACCCCCCAGCTCTTGGTGAGCTCCTCACAGCATCCTGAACCCCCATTAGCCCTGTTCCCCTCAATCCTGTTTTTGGCTGGAAGAGTTACTTTTCTTCCTAATAGCTGGTGCAGTGTCGTGATTGGGCTTTAGTCTGAGAATAACGCTGGTAACAATTTTTACCTGCCATGTCCTTGGCTCACTTACAGGTCACACTGCAGGAGCCCCGCGTGTGCAGGAGGGCATCTTCTGAGATGGTGATGGGGACAGGGCTTGTCCACAGCCCACCTGACCTGTCACACATCAAGCCCACTGGCGTCCCAGCCGTCGGTGAAATACCACTACTTTGATGGTTTTTTCACTTACCCGGTGATGCGGGGGGGTGAGCCCCAAGGGGAGCTCTCGCTTCTGGTGCCAAGCGCCCTGCACACGCCAGGCGTAACCCGCTCTGGGCAGCGGCAGGTGGGGAGTTTGACTGGGGTGGTACATCTGTCAAAGCATAACGCAGGTGTCCTAAGGCGAGCTCAGGGAGGACGGAAACCTCCTGCAGAGCAGAAGGGCAAAAGCTCGCTTGATCTTGATTTTCAGCACGAATACAGACCGTGAGAGTGGGGCCTCACGATCCTTCTGGCTTTTTGGGTTTTAAGCAGGAGGTGTCAGAAAAGTTACCACAGGGGTAACTGGCTTGTGGCAGCCAAGTGTTCAAAGCAACGTCGCTTTTTGATCCTTCAATGTCGGCTCTTCCTATCATTGTGAAGCAGAATTCACCAAGCGTTGGATTGTTCACCCACTAATAGGGAACGTGAGCTGGGTTTAGACCATTGTGAGACAGGTTAGTTTTACTCTACTGATGATGTGTTGTTGCAATAGTAGTCCTGGTCAGTACAAGAGGAACCGCAGGTTCAGACCCCTGGTGCGTGCACTTGGCTGAAGAGCCACTGGCGCGAGGCTACCATCTGCGGGCTTATGACTGAACGCCTGTAAGAACCCGCCTAGAGGCTTGTTGTGCTATTGCATCATCGGTCACTTGTGATTGACCCAGGAGGTGACAGTCTTGCTCAGAATGCGTGGGTGAAGGTCTTCCCGAATCTTTGTTAGCGAAGTCAGGCCTTCCTCAAAGGAGAAGGAAAACTCCTATCTTCACACCTGGGCTGATGGAGCTCGTCTGGCCTTGTATGGTCTTCCATCAAAGGACACTCTTACAAAACCTACGACCTGTGGACTTTGCTGTCACCGTCCTAGCAAACTACCTCAGGTGTAAAGGGTGGGGCCAGTTCTGCAGAAGCTGCGCCTCACCTAAAAAATCCACTGCGCAGGCTGGAAGGGCTTACTCTCACTTGTCTGTTTGGACAGGAGAGAGTCAAAACGGCAGGTGACAAGGTGCATGGGAAGCTGCAGATCCAACCTTGCATGTGGGTGTACCAGCACATTGGTAGCTCGAGATCACTCAGGAGATGACAGTTCTGATTGGACACTTCCTGATTGCCTAAGCACCCTTTTTTCCAACCAGATTTGCATATCCCACTTGCCCTTGATCATCGTGCCTATAGTAAGCGTGGTTAAAGCCCTTCCCAAATCTTTGCTCGTGAAGCCAAGCCATCAATCAATGGTTAGTGTGGGAAAGGACCTAGGTCCTTTTCACCCAGCACAGGGGCAGGGCCACCTGAGTCTGCAGCCGCTCATGGTTAACCGCCCTGAGGTCTACCCCATCACAGGCACACAGACCCGGCACAGCTCGGTGCCCCTAACTGCCGCGGTGTTTCCCGCGGGAGGGGCACAGCCCCGCGCACAGCGAGGCCCCGCCCACAACTCCCATTGGCTGCGGGGCGGCCGGGTTTTCCCGCGCGCGCGCTCGGCGGGGCGGCATGGCGGGGGAACGCGCGGTGGGGCTGGTGCGGGAGCTGCATCGTACCACCGGCGGGAGCCTCCCGCCCTTCCGGGTGAGCGGGGCCGGGGCCGGGAGCGGGACGGGCCCCGGCGGTGGCCCCCTCTCACTGACCCTGTCCCGTGTTGCAGACGGAGGAGCTGCGACAGGTACTGGAGGAGATGCGGTCGCTGTACGAGCAGAACCAAGCGGATGTGTGAGTGTCGCGCCCGGTACCGGGGTGTCCTGGCCCGTCCTGCACAACCCGACAGTGTGCCCTTCTCTCCCAGCCGTCCCGCAGCTCTGTAACGCAGCTCCTCCTCCAGGTCCGAAGCGAAGTCAGGACGCACGGACCTCATTTTCCTCATCCGGTTTCGGCACTGCTGCCTGCTCCGGAACCAGCGCTGCATCCTGGCCTACCTGTGAGTGTGGCGCGGAGCATGGGGGGCTACGGCGGGCCTTCGGGGTCACAGAGTGTCGCTTCTTCCCCACTGACACGATACAAGGCCCCGGAGCACTGGGTACTGGGACGCTCGGCTCTGGCGAGCGGTCCCCATGCAGGATGCGGTAGCAGGGCAGCTGCGGGACAGGCTCTCCCTGCACACATTGCTGATACCGTCAAACGCTGGCCCTGTTTTATTTCTGCTCTTTAAACGCTTTAATTACTGCATAGGTCCAAAATCACATCTTTCAGAGGAAGGTGGGTGGAATGACCCAAGGTTTTGCTCTCTGCTTTGTTGCCTGGGGATATTGCCAATGTTTGCCTCAGCAAAGATGCTGGGCTTGCCCCTTGTTTGTTCCCCCAGGTATGACCGGTTGCTGCGGATCCGAGCACTGAGGTGGGAGTATGGCAGTGTCCTGCCAAATGCCATCCAGTTTCACATGTCAGCAGAGGAAGTGAGTCAGCCTTGTCTTAAATTCTTCCTCTTTCCACTTATTCCTCCTGATGGATTACCTATTTGGTAGAATCAAAATAAGGTACAATTCCCCCACTATAAATATGACACTTAACGTGTCTTCCTGTAAACACCAATTTGTTTATTCATTGTCTACGGGTACAACCCCAGACAGATACCAAGTGCAGGTAATGCTTGGCACTTTCAAGGATCAGGTGGAAGATCAGACTCAAAGCCAGCAGAACTTAAGTCTTGCCATGCTGCTCTCAAATGCCATCTCTAGACCAATGTACAAAGATGCTACCATCAGCAGAATGTGTCCTGAATCCAGATTACTCTCCCTCTGTGGCAGTCTTTCTCTTTAGAAAAGCTTGCATTCACCTTTGGCTGGTACAAACATGCTCTGGAACAGTGGTCTGACAGCACAGATAAACTAGGTATCACTCACTGGGGACCTCTCTTTCAGCATTAGCTGTTCAGCTTTGCCTGAGGAATCAATGTCAATATATGCAGGTGGAATGGTTCAATCAGTACAAAAAGTCTCTGGCTACCTACATGAAGTCAGTAGGAGGAGAGGAGGGGCTGGACCTTACACAGGACATAAAACCTCCTAAAAGCCTGTACATTGAAGTAAGTGCAAGTGTTTTCTGTTTGTGAACAAACTTTTTGCCCAACCATTGTTTTTTAGAGAATTTCACCCCCATCCCAAGCTGTGTTATTGAGCAAAGCCTTCAAGAGCACCAAAGCTTCCACAGGCTTCTACATTTTACTCTTTACATTCTGCCTGTCAGCATTTTACTCCCTCTTCTACTGAGGGCTCAAAGTCTGTTGGAAGACAGCATTTCTAGTCTGAAGGGAATTTGTGTGGTGGGTTGAGTGGTCTGAATCCTGATGAGAAGTTTGTAGCATTTTGCAGAAACTGAACCAAATCTACATCAACTAGAAACCTTGTTCCCATGCTAAGGACTGTTAATTGGTTTTCCTTGATATTTTAAATGGACTTTGACACACAAAACTATAAGTCTTTTTATACAATTGATAGAACAAAGTAAGAGCATGTGAAACATCAAAGTCAGTAGCTAAAGTACTCTATTCTGATGTCCTCTTCGAAAGAAGATGTACTGGCAATAAACCTACTCCTTAAAGAGTTTCACAGTTTTTCTGGTATGTGTGTGGAGAAGTTCTGGAAATGCTGCTGCTTCCCACATTGTGTCTCTTGTGCTTCTCTTCCTCTTGTCTCTGGAGGACTAGGCTCGCTGGTGCTTCTTGATCCAGGTAGAGGCAGGAAGAGAATGCCAGGGAGAGTCTATAGAGTATGGGATCAGTCCAGTTGTGCATTTCCAGATCTGCTCCATGTTGAGGATCCAGCAGGCAGATAGGAATGTGTCCATACTTACAGTTCTGGGGCATGTGTTTTAAGTCAGCAGTGATGTCTGGTGTTTTCTGTGGGAGATCTGATGATCCGAGAGCTGCATTTCTGCTTTGCAGGTGCGGTGTTTAAAAGACTATGGAGAGTTTGAGATCGATGATGGTACCACGATCCTGTTGAAGAAGAATAGCCAGGTACCCATGTCAAGAGTGTGTGGTCCTTTCTCTTCCTTCCCTTTCACTCCCATGACATCTTCCTGCTTACCCCAGCTTCACAGCACATCTCCTTGCACATGCTGCAAGCTGTCTGTGTGGCCCAGCTCTGACCTGGTACCACAATGCAGTGAGCACACTGCACAACAGAGCTGGTTGTGTGCAGTGACAGATACACTCTGCCTGGGTTGCAAGAAAAGTTTGTCTGTGTTTCCATGCAGCACTTCTTACCCCGCTGGAAGTGTGAGCAGTTAATCAGACAAGGAGTCCTTGAGCATGTTCTTTCGTAAGAATGCAGGACAGAAGGGACAACTCTTGCTTGCCCACAGTGGGGACTCAACTCTGGTATGTGCAGGACTTCAGATACCTTACCATTTCTGCAGTGCACACCCTGCAACTCCTCTTTGATACCTGACACTAAGATCAGCCCTGAGTTTATAAAGTATGCAAACCACACTGGCTGGCTGTTCTTGACCACAGTGCGTCCTGGTAGTGTAACCATCCTGGGAATCCAGCACAGTGGGGGTGGCACTGGGGGGGTGAGAGGAGTCTATCCAAGACCCTCAGCTACAAACAGGTTTTATGAATGCATTTTTGTCTGGAGCAGTTCTTTGTTCGCACTGTGCATGTAAGACACCAACCAAGTGGGCTCCAGAAGGCAGGACGGCTCCAAAATTGCAAAATAAAAATGGCTTCACCTTCAACTGAGTGTTTTACAAGAGTTAACATTGTTTGTTTAAACACTGTGACCTGGTTCTCTGGCCCAACCTATCTGGACCTTGCAGGTTGATGCTCAACTGGTTATTTAGATGTCTCAGTGCAGCTGCTCTTCCAAGTATCAGCTTCTTTCTAAGATGCACATGAAGCTTTGACTCTCGCAAAAAGCCTATAAATGTTTCTTAAGGTGCTGAGTGAATGAGCATTGGCTGCAGTTTGGGTCATGGGCCTCACCATGGTTTCTCCCAGCACACTTGGGCTGTGCCTGTGTTCCTCTGGGAAGAATCACATTCTCCAGAGCATGATCTGGCAGGGTATCAGTATTATCTGGAGTAGGGATGGGTAAGGGAGCAGAAGGTTCTAAGGCTTTCACTTAGCACAAAGTCAGAGCAAGGCTGAAGAACTGCTCTCCCCATTGGGTGTTCCTAATAGAGCTGTTCACTCTTGAGTAGTGGCTGCAAGGTAACACTTCCAAAAACGTGAGCCCTAGGTAAGACTCTAGTCTCAGCATTCATCCACCAGGCAGAAAAAACAGGCTTCGATCAAGGAAGCCTCAGTCAGCCTCCACCCACCTCCTGTTACTGTCCCAGGGCCTGGGAACCCCTCTGCCCTGGCACGCTGGGACTTAAAAGCAGTGGCTGAGTTTCAGCTCAGCCAATTTATCCCTTTTTATTCTTGAACTACCAGCAACAGCTTGAGCTAGTTTTAAGCCCTCTTCTTTGTATTAACTTTGTCCAGCTTTGCTACCCTGATCCAGACAGGCTTGTGTAGTCTCTCTTGTACAGTGTTCTCCATAGTCCCCAAAATCCTAGGAGTCCTTTCACAGCTAGTGGCAACCACAGCCCCCATGTAAATACCCTCTGCTCTGCACAGAGCAAGGCAGGGCACTGGTGACAATGATCCAGAGGGTAACACTATGGGCAGATAAAAAATTGGGGCATTTGCTAATGTGAATGCTTGGCTTTGTGACCTTTTAGACAATTTATTTTGGCAAGAGCAGCGCTCACTGCCAGTGTGTGAGGGCCAACAGAGAAGGCAAGATGATGCAGTTCACTTACCATGTCTCCTGGTATCCTTTGAAGAAGGGCAGGGCTCCTGATGATGGGTCACCAGTCCTGCCCTGAGCCTCGAAGGTTCAAACTGAAAGAAGGCTTTTCCCTCAGCCCTTCTGATCTGTTCACCGCAGAGGCAACAATCTGGCATCAGGTTGGTTTTGGTCCTAGGCTCAGGCTTTAGGAGGGCCAGAGTCTCCTAGAGCCCAAGAGAAGCTGTAGGGAATAAAAGTTTAACAACAGCTGAGGCAGGCTGCTGAAATACAGAGCAGATGGAGATGGCAGGAGGTACTGCAATACTGCAGACATTTTAATGCCACAATCCAGATTTCCTGTTAGGAGAAAGCCAAATGCAAGAACTTGCAAACTCTCCTGCCCTGGCTTTTCAGCTGCAACAGAATGACCCCAACAGCAGCCTTCCATAGAGAGACAGCTTTTGGACCACCACACAACCTGCTGCCAGAGCGCAGGCAGCTCCTGTGGGATGGCTGCCCTGAGGGAGACCTGAGTTACAACAGCACACTGCCACTGAGAAAGGCACAAATGCTGCTGCTTTCAGTAGGAAAATTCAGCCATCCACAAGATCCATTTCTTTAAAGGACTCTGTCTTGTTTCTTCATTTGCTACTTTCTACCCAGGAAAATCCTGGCAAGACCAGAGAGGAAAAGGCTTATTTCGCAACCCAGACATATCTCTTCCATACCTGACAAACCCTGGCCAGGACCAGGGGCAAGGCTGCCACAGCACACACCCTATCACCCACTCAAAGATGCTGGTGTGATTTTTCCAATGAGCTGCTTCAGAGCTGAGGCTTGCTCCTCCAACAGCTGGTTCTTCTCCTCAGTGCTCTTCTGCTTCAGCTCAGCTGCCTGCAGGGCCATTGCAACCCCCCTGTTCTCGTCACGGAGGTCTTCGATCAGCAGTCTGTTCCTGGAGAGTTGGGCCTACAACAAGGACAGGAGGCTAAAGGTTTACCATCCCCATGCTGGGGTCCCAGTCAAGCAGGAACATGCAGCACTAACCCCTCTTCCCCTCACCTGGGCATCTTTAAGCTGAGCTGCTCTCTCTGCCAGCACAGCTTCAGTACTCCTGAGGTTGTGCTCCATTGCCTCTGCCTGATCCATAGCTGCCTGCAGCAGACGCTCGTGTTCCTCCTGCAGCAGGCAATAAAGACTAATGTTAGGCTGTTCCCAGGCAATCCAGGACTATCCATTTCCCCAGGGCTCTGCTCACAGATCTTCACACTCTGAAGAAGAGCATGAAGGGATCAGTGGGTCATGTCCAGAAAAGCCAAAGGAGAGACATAGTTTCCATGGATATAGTTTTTGTGTCTGCTCATTTCAATTCCTTAGGTTACAGTTTCCTCCCTTTGCTCAGGTTAGTGCAATTGAATTACACTGTCCTGAAACAAAACACAAACTCACAAAACCCCAACACCCTGTTGCCCAGTGCACCTGAGACAACCACAGCACTATATGCAGGCTACATCTCCACATACAGGGCTCAAACTTTCCCCAGCCTGAGTCAACAGTGTCTACCTGGTAACTCCTGCTCCATAAGCACAAGGTACCTAGCCTGGGGTAGGTGGATTAGAGAGGGGAGGGTTCCTGTTTGAGTGCAGGGCTGTGACTACATTCATAAGGAATGAAAACTGCAGATGCACATTGAAGATAAAGTGCACTTAGGCTTTGATATACCCAAACTTCTGGTGGTTTCCAGGCTGGGAGTGCTCCCTTCCTGTTACCCTTGACTGAGAAACACAATTCCCTGCTTACCTGAGTCCTGAGCAGCTGCCTGCATGTCTGCTCAGCCTGCTGGTGGAGGTTTTCCTGGAGCTGCTGAGCCTTGCATTGCTCTGCTCTCAAGCTGGTTTGCAGCTCCTCAAAATGTTTCTTTGGCACCATGTTGTTCATCTGGGCTTTGACCTGCTGCAACTGCAGAGTGTGCTGAGTCTGAGCCAGGCTCAGGCTTGCTTTGGCTTCTAAAAGCTGCAACACAGAAAGGCTAATAGCTGGTTACAGCTTTTTGCCATCACTGGGACAGGCACAGGGTGTGCTGAAGGTGAGGGGAGAGGCTGGAATGCACCCTCAGCCCACACTTGGCTCTCATGCCAACATGGCCACAGCAGAGCAGCAGGACCATGGAAGGGGTATGTGCTGGGCAAGCCTACAAAGCCAGAATGGAGAGCACTGAGAGCTGCAGGAGAAACAGGGACCCCTTGCTGAAGGATGCTGCCCTTGCTGAGCAGCAAGAAGCAGGAGTTACTGGTGGGATACTCTGGGAGGGAGTCCTAGCTTCAAGTGCTGCAATGGTAGGAGGCAGAGAGAGCTGCTCACTTGTATTTGTTCTTAGATACATCACAGGCAAGCTGGGCTTCAATCGCTGCCTGTACATCATGCCCTCTGCTTCCTGCCACTAGCAAAAGGGGAAGCAAGTTTGGTCCATGTTTGCTCCAGGAGTGGCTGGCACAAGCTGTACTCTGGAAAGCCAGTCCCTGAGCCTTTTCCCACGGTACAAAGCAGGAGATGGACAGTAATACATTTTGAGGTTTCTCACATCGGCTTTCTTCTGTCCTAGTGGTCCTTGTTTGTCTGCTCTGACTTCCCCACCTCAGACATGGCCTGCCTGGCCCCTGTCATCCCTGCCTGATCCTGCCACCCCTCTTGTTCCTCTGTCAGCTGAGCCATGGGGAAACCACGGCTCCTGGCACTCCCAGATGAGCCACCTTCACTCAGCTTCTATCTCCTCTGTCCAGCCAGTCTGCACAGGACAAGGACAGAGGAAACAGGGTCAGCTGCAAGTAAGGACTTACCCCAAGCTGCACCTGAACTTGCTTCAGACATATCTGAGTGGGAGAGCAAGTCCTTTGTCCCCCACAAAAAGGAAGAGGACACTCTTTTCTGCTAGGGAAGGTGTCCAATACAGTCCTGAGCTGGACAATTCCAACATCACAGGGACCACTCAGCAGCCACCCTGTCACCAACTGAATGATAGTCACCTTCTCCTGCGAGGCTTTGAGCTGCTGTTGAAGCAACTCCATCTCCATCCAACATGCTGCATGCTGCTGGTGGTGCTCCAGCCTTGCAGCCATTTCTGCACCTCGTAGCCGCTCAGCCTCTGCAAGCCTCTGGCTCCACAATGGGATGGTGTCAGGGCCAGCACGACGGCCAGCCTGGTGTTCAGTGACTTCACGGCCCAGTTGACACATCCTTACATTCTGCTGGGAGATCTCCCTGCTGCTCTTCTCACCCTGGAAAAGGTTGAGTAAAAAAAAAAATAATTCATGCACAGAAGCTTGGGGTGGGGTGAGAGGCAGCAGAAACTTAACCTGTCCCATACTGTCCCCACTGGGTTTCCACTCAGGAACACAGGGCTTTGTGGACACTCAGGACAAGAGCCCTCATTTCCCAGCCTGACCAAAGCAGCACAACATTCAAGGTGAGAAATTCCTCAGTAGATGGAAACTCTGGAGGAAGTCACTGGGGGGTGTCACTGAGGACAAGGAATACTCTCCCTCTACTCTGCTCTTGTGAGACCCCCCCCCTGCAGTGCTGCATCCAGCTCTGTGGGCAACAGCACAAGAGGGATGTGGACCTGCTCAAGGAAGCCCAGAGGAGGCCACAGAGATGCTCCATGGGCTGGAGCACCTCTGCTACAGAAACTGGCTTGAGAGTTGGGCTTGTTCAGCCTGGAGAAGAGAAGGCTTCAAGCAGCTTCTAGTGCCTAAAGGGGCCAACACAGAAATCTGGAGAGGGACCTTTTACAAAGGAGATAGTGACAGGTCTAGCAGAAGGTGTCCCTGCCTGTGGCAGGGGGTTGGAACTAAAATGACCTTTAAGGTCCCTTCCAACCCAAATCATCCTGTGATTTCATGATGTTTAATAGAAATATTTAGACTGGAAAGAATATAGTATGAATGGACACATGCATGTATGAAAGTACCAGACGGAGGAGCAGAGTAAGGGTTACAAGAGCAGAGTACATCAACACTAAAGGGTATCCACCCCTTAGACATTGCTCCTAGGACACTATCCCTAGCAGTAATGCTGAGCAACGTGCAGTTTCTGCCCCATGCTCTGACCAGACCACTGCACAGATAACGTGTCAGGAGAAAGTCTGCATCTAACAGCAGGGCAGCAACACACCCTACACCCCATTCCTCTCCTAGCTGGTACTGATTCATCAGTGGGTCAGGTGTCTCTGCTCCAACAGGTCACACAGCCCAACCCAGGGCAGACAGCTGGGGACACCCAAAGTCCTGCAGCACTCTCAGAGACCTAAAAGTCAGGGGATGAAGAACAATAGGAGAGCCATCTTATCCGAGTCTTGGGGCTATCCACACCAGAAACATGGTTCTCCTTGGATTTATGGTTCAGTGGGTGACCTTAGTACCTACCTCAAGCTTCCTAAGGCAGCAGCAGGCCAACATGCTTGTGTAGTGAAGAAGCCCATCGTTTCCTCTGTCAGCATACCTATCCCCACAGCCTTCCCCAAACCCAGCTCTGGTTCCTGTGCTCTGACCTCCCCAAGCCTGTCCCAGCACTGGCTGGCAGCTTTTAAGTGAGCAAAGGGTGTGAGAGTGCTGGCTTGCTCAGAAACAAGAAAACAAAAGGCAGGAACAAAAGTCAGCTGAAATCTGGTAAATGCATCTGAGTAGCTGTTCCTTTTACATGCATCAGCTCTCCACCCATTTACAGCTTCCTACAGCTGGCTTCTCTTACCCATTGTGTTCGCTGCCCTCCTTTGCCAGCCTCAGCTCTTGCTGAAGTCTCCCAAGTTGACTTTTCAGCACACTGTTCTCCTCCAGCAGCCAGCACAGGTCTTCCCTGCAGGGAGAGACAGAAGTGTGAGAACACCATGCAAAAGCCCAGTTTGATCTTGGCATTCTACACTGGCTGCATACTCCATCCCCATTTGACTTGCAAGGACAGCAGAAACTAAAGAAATCTGACAAACAGCCATCTAATAACTCATGCAAAATGTGGGGACCATCAAGAGACTGGCAGAGAAGAAGTAGGCCTTCAAGAGAAGGGAAATACAGGTGAATAAGGACAAAAAGCATCAGACCCTCAATTTCTTTGGCTTCCAGCTGACTGAAGTTATTTTGCAGGCCTGCCAAGAAGTAGAAACTAAGAGATCTGGCTCATTAAGACACACCAAGACTTCACTAAGGATAACCAGGTGGTTAAGTCCAACCCTTCAACTGCAATAAAGCCATACCTGGATTAGTCAGCTTGCTTCTGCGGCCTTTGTGATTTTACATTGCTGGATGTAACAGTTATGACCCCAAAGACAAGGCAGCCTCTATACCTCATCATCCTTTCATCCCTACTGGTATCCCAGCCTCTCATGAGGCCACAAATACTGGAACTTGTGGGTAGGAAGCTCAGTCCTGTGTCAATCAGACAGTCATACCTAACAGCTACTGCTAAACCCCATACAGGACCCAAATTCCTCAGGGAAAAGTGCAGGAGAATGGACTGTCCATCGTTGACAGCACTGCAGTTTGTGGTGTTGCATGTAGTTACAGTAGTGTTACTGTAGTGATAGGACAAGGGGTAACGGGTTAAAACTTAAACAGGGGAAGTTTAGATTGGATATAAGGAAGAAGTGGTGAGGCACTGGAATAGGTTGCCCAAGAAGTTGTGAACGCTCCATACCTAGCAGTGCCCAAGGCCAGGTTGAACAGAGCCTTGGGTGACATGGTTTAGTGTGAGGTGTCCCTGCCCATGCAGGGAGGTTGGAACTTGATGATGTTAGTGTCCTTTCCAACCCTAACTATTCTATGATTCTATGTGTGAGGCAGAGGAGCTGAGTGGGGAAGTTCTTCCTCTCTTGTGCAAGAGGGAGCACACAGGCTGTGAGCTGCTGGCTCCCCCTGCTTGGCAGGGTGCTCCTCACAGCAGCTGCTTTACAAGTCAGTTTCACATCAGGATTCATATGCTGTGCTTCCCATGGCAGCTCCAGCAACCCACAGACAGCAGTACAAGGCAGAGGAGACAAATGCACAGCCAGCTACAGCCACGTTATCACATCCCAGCTCTCTGACCACACTCCCATGGTTAGTAAAAGGCATGCGGGGGACAGCAAGAACATAGCTGCTGCTAAAGAGTGTCAAGAGAGAACACAGCTGCTGTTAAGAGTGTCTTTGGACCATCATGTTGTTAAGCAGCTTCGTGTTTCACAAGGCATCTGCTTTTCTTCAGCAGCAGCACAGTTCTGCAAACCTGCTACTCTCTTGAGCTCTGGGTCATCTTCCAAGCAGTGCACATGTTTCAGCTACATCAGCTCCAGTTTCACCCCTTTCCTTTCCCTTTTCAGCTCAATTTTGACAGCCTGAATGTCATGTTTCTTTCTATGCTGCTGTGCCACTCTGCCTCCCAGGGCTGTTTTCCCTCTTGTTGCCCTTCAGATCAAGTCTATGTCCTGACACACTGCTTTTGTATGCTGTGTGAAGGCAGACATTTAACTTTGCTCTCTCTGCCTCCTTCCCAAGCACATTCCCTTGTATATCAAGATTTCATTTCTCCTTGACAAAAAGCTTTCTGCTTTGGCTCCAGCTTCTAGATTGAGCAGGCCTTTCACTGCAACAGATGTCTGCACTGGTCCATCCATCACAGTGTTTTTTATTTCTTTCCTGTTCCTTTGGTGCTAACGTTGCAACAGGCAGGAGACTTTGGTCCACCTGCTCATCTGAGCCTTGGGGATCCACTCCTTTTCCCCCAGAGGGCAGCCCTCTAGACACCTTGTCCCTTCCAGTACCTGAGCCGTGAGCCCCATGATCTCTGCATTATTCCCATTTCATCTCAGTGCTTTTTTTTTCTCTTTTTCTTCTCAGCAGCCAGCATCTCACACATCTTCACTTGCTCCTCATTAACCTTCTCTTCCAGTTTTAGCTGCCTCTTCCACAGAGACCATGTCCTTTTCCTTCCGCTTCCACTGCTGCCTCTCCTGGGCTCCTGAGGTCCTGGCCTTGCAGCCTTTATCATTGGGAAATCACCTCTCACACCAATGCTGCTACTACAGAGCCTTACAGCTGTTGTCCAGGCCTACACTCCATAACAGCTCTTGATCATGCTCAACCTCTGCATCTTTCCAAAAGATAAAAGCTGTTTTGCTGACCCGGATTTGATAACACAGCTTGAAGAGCTCAGCCAGCTTCAGAACATACTTTAGCTGGAGAGGCAATGAGAAGTTTTCTTTAGGTTGCAAAGTCAAGGCAATTACTTAAACATTACAGAAAGTTCCCACACCTCTCTGAGAAGTTCTACACTTCTCACTCATCCATCAGATGTTTTCCAACAACTCCGAAAGCTCCCTACTACAGCCAGTCCCTCCATCAGTCACCAGAGATGGTGGTAACAGCTCAAATGCCTTGTATTCCTGTTATCTGGGTTTGTTCCCGTGGTCTGACACAAACTTCAGTGAAGTCACCTCCTTTCTCCCACACCTACCCCATATTTCAGCTCCTCATCCCTAAAACAGGGATAATGACTTAGTAAAACCCTCTGCTTGGTTATTGACAAAGCGGACTCTGCTCCTGAAGGGACATACACCAGGGAAGAGGCATGAGGAAAGCCTAAGGGTAGTGGTGGGGTGTGCTGGGAAGCAAGAGGGGGCAGGCATGGACAGGGAAGTTTCCTATCCAATTCTCCTTCAGTCTCCTCTGCAAGGCCATTCTGGCCCCTATGGGGAGCTTGCACAACTAGCACCAAAAGCACAAGAAGGGAAAGATGAACAGCCATTTAGTGACAACCTTACCCTCCCACAAGCCAGTCTGTTTTGCTATAAAGAGAAATTTAAGCTATTTTTTGCTGCTTTAAAGACAGCCAGTTGCAATGATCTAGCAAGTAGGTGCAAGTTTGAAGGACCAAGAAAGAGAAGAAATACTAAGAAAACGCTGATGAAAGCTCTCACTCCTCCCACTGTTTTGAGGTACAATCTTTGGTGGGCACTGCCTCTGACGCAAGCTTGTGGAACATGCAGGGAAACTTAAGTCTTGAAATATCAAACATTCACTTAAGGTGAGTTCAGACACCGCATTTCAAACAGCTGCAGCCCTGCAATACTGTCCAAATCTTCTTCCAAATTAAAGCAGTTATCCATCCTCAGGAGGAATCAGCCCAACCTACTCTGGTATGAGCAGGGGATGCACCCCTAGTCTCCCTCTTAGCCAGAGAAAGAGAACAGTGCCAGACCTCAGGCTCTCTCTGTCCCTGTGCCGCGTCCTCAGCTCTCCTCCCTCCTGGTCCAGCTGCTGCCCTGGATGGTAAATGTCTTCAGTGTGCTGCTGTCCAACCCTGGACTGCTCCACCTCAAACCTCTCCTCCAGCTCCATGCTCCACACACGTTTTTGCTCTTTCAGGTGATCAATTACAGCCCAGTACTTTGCAACTGTTTCTTCCAGGTCTCTTTTCTGGTCTTCCATCTTGCCTATCTCAGTCCTGAAGCTTTCCTCACTGTCCTTCCTCTCATTCTCAAAGTTTTTCCTCATTAACTTGATTTTCTCCTTGTAATAGTTTATCTGTTGGGAGAAGACAGGATTTGGGTATTAGCACCATAATCCTGAGAGCTCCCCTCTCCTCCAATAGCTCTGCTCAGATTAATCTACTGATCCCTCTCAACAGGGCACACTCTTCAGGCAGTTCTAGGCCCTTCTGAACTTCAGGCAATAACCAAGTCTCACACAGCAGCCTCTAATAAGCAGATATTGGTGGTCCCCAGATTTTCCCAACAACCTTCTCCCTTCGCCTTTTTTTTGCAAGGAACCCCAAAGAGGAGAAGGGAGATGTGAGGGCATCATCTGCCTCTGCTCCTCATATTCTTCCTCCACCCCACAGAGTGGTTCCTTGTCAAGATGTGGTGGTGAACAGCTGCTACTCCCCAAGGTTTCCCTGTAAATCATAGACTCATAGAATAGTTAGGGTTGGAAAGGACACTAACATCATCAAGTTCCAACCCCCCTGCCATGGGCAGGGACACCTTGCTCTAAACCATATCACCCAGGGCCTCGTCCAGCCTGGCCTTGAACACCGCCAGGGATGGAGCATTCACAACCTCCTTGGGCAACCCATTCCAGTGCCTCACCACCCTAACAGGAAAGAATTTCCTCCTTATAGCCAATCTAAACTTCCCCTGTTTAAGTTTTAATCCATTACCCCTTGTGCTATCACTGCAGTCCTAATGAAGAGTCCATACTCAGCATCCCTGTAGGCCCCCTTCAGATACTGGAAGGCTCCTATGAGGTCTCCACGCAGCCTTCTCTTCTCCAGGCTGAACAGCCCCAACTTTCTCAGCCGATCTTCATATGGGAGGTGCTCCAGTCCCCTGATCATTCTCGTGGCCTCCTCTGGACTTGTTCCAACAGTTCCATGTCCTTTTTATGTTGAGGACACCAGAACTGCACACAATACTCCAAGTGAGGTCTCACGAGAGCAGAATAAAGGGGCAGGATCACCTCCTTCGACCTGCTGGTCACGCTCCTTTTGATGCAGCCCAGGATACGGTTGGCTTTCTGGGCTGGAAACTCCAGGATCTGATCAGCACAAAGGCGGGACTACAAAGCGGGCAGAAGATCTGCAAACAGCTTTGTGTGCCTTGAACTCTGCATCACCTGTGGCAGTCTAGGATTCACTCTTGTAGTGCTGCAGTGGAAAGCCAGCAAGCATCCCTGACCTCCCAGTTCAGCAGCAAAAGCAGAAGTGAAAGTGGAAGCTGAGGCCTCTCACATGAGCACTCACTGCTGTCTAGAGCCCCGTGTGGCTGGGCTCACTGTCAACTTAGACAAGCAGCTTAAAAGTGTGCTGCAAGCCCAGGGAGACAGGGCTCTAATACCCGCCATGCTCTCAGGAGATACCCATCTGCTTCACATCTTAGTCCTGCCACTGGTTTTACTGTGACAGCAACACTGAGTAATCTCTGGCTCCCCATAAAGAGCAAGACCCACACAAGTATTTTGCAGGATGATAGAATTTCCATAAAGCCTTTGCCAGCCAGTGAGGGCTTCAAATCCTCCTACCAGCTAAGAGAAGCACATGCTCCCAGCAGAGAGACAAGGTACCACTCTGCTCCCCAGCGTGGAGCCAGCAGACACCCCATCAGCCATGCTGTAGCAGGGTGCTTGCCAAGCAGTTGTGCCAAGAAGTCAGGAAATTTCCCCCCACTCCCCTCACCTTCATTTCCAGCTGCACCTTCAGGTCCCGCATCTGCTCTTGGAGCTGCTCCATTGAGAGTGATGTCTCTGTGCACACAGAAGCAGGATGCAGAGGGCTGGGATGGTGGCCCACAGGAGAGGAGTCCTGTGAGGACAGGCCTACAAGACAAGACAAGACAGGCCTGGCTGTCCTGATCAGGACAGCTGCAACTTCATCTAGTCAAGCCCATACAAGCCCAAAAGACAGAGATCTCCCATCTATCTGGCAAGCAGTCTCAGGGCTGCATCTCCCCGTTGGGCCAGAAGGTTTTTTCCTGATGCTCAACCTAACCTCACAGCCTACAGTTTGGGGCTACTTCCTCTTCATCATACTGTGTTTCTTCAACATTCATAACAGTGAAAATCTTCCTGTTCACTCCCAGCTGCCTAGTACACAGGTCACCATCACCAGCCTACAAGATGGAAGAGCCTCCTTTCCCCAGTCTACCTCCTCCTCACCACCCATTACCCCCTTCTTCCCTCCCATGGCTGCCCAATACCAGAACTGGCAGCAGCAGCTCAGGCACAACAAACCACCACACACACCCATGGAAACTCCAATCTGGACAGGACCTTGTCCTTGCTGAGAAGATGGAGAGGCATCAAACCCTCCTCCATTTTACCTCCTGCTGGTAGCTCTCTCTCAGCCCTGCTCTCCTGTAGTTGGAGATACAGCCTTTCCAGCTGCCTTCGCAGCAATCCATTCTGGTCCCACAGCACCTGAAGCAGAGACTGATGCAGCTAGAAAGCTCCCCAGAGCCGCAGGGGGCTGAGCACCCATGGCTGCCAACAGCCATGTGTACTCAGAGGATCTTGCAGCATGAAGTGCATAGTCCCCTCACCAGCACAGTCAGAATCAGGCAGAGGAATTTTCTTCCTCCCCCAACAGGCAGAAATGAGAGATTTTTTGAAAAGACAGAAAAAAAACACAAGCCCATATGATTGTGACTACCATCATTACACAATGTAAAGCACAAAGAGCCACAAGCAAATGCCCCTGCATGCAAAATCACACAATACCATGGGTTTCCACAGACACCTCGGAAGGCTGGACCTCCTGAGACCCCTCCTCATCTAAACACAACCAGTGCTAGTGAACAACACACAAGAAACACCACGATCTCAGTATGACCCTCACATAGCCCAGAGGTTTGTGCTACATCCTCAAGACATTCCTGTGGGTATCTGGGCTAGCCAACAAGCATTACTGTGTGCAGACAAAGCAAGAGCAGTATTTGCAGTGAGACAAGTCCCACAGGGCTCAGGAAGGGAACATTTCGAGGCTCTGAATTTTCCACTTTGAGCAGACATCAAATTATATCCCATATGCTGCCACCCAGGAAAATGATGGAGACTGAACTACGATACTTCCAAAGATCCCCATTAATAAATATTATTAAGCAGGCCTAGACAAATGCAAACCCAGCTTGTTTAACCTCCATTCTAAACAGGAGAGCAGAGGAGGAGGGGGCTGACAGCATCCAACAAGGATAAACCTGTTCCTCCATCAGCATTCTCACAGGCAACTCTCGGGCTGCTCAGTGGGAGGAAAAAATTGCAGCACAGAGCATCTTCAACCCTCTGGTGCCACCTGGAGCAATGTTGCGCTGGGTAGCGCTCCAGCTTGTTTGCCTTTAATTACAGCTTCAAGAGTCTGCTGCATTCATGAAATGGCTTCGCTGAAACTGCAGGTTTCTGCCCCTGCTGGGGGGATTTGGTAACTCATCGTCTCTACTCAGCGGTGCTCCCCAGTCACACGCAGCACTTGGAAACACGGGCAGTGCAATAAGCACAGGACTCAGGAGTCAAGGCACAAAGCATCCAGCAACTCAAAACATGCAAGATACACAAGAGAAGAGAAGGGAAATGGAGGCGGTGCTGACTTCCCAGAAAGCCCAAAACTCTGGGCAGGGGCACAGCACCCTGCAGAAAGTACAATACACACACCACCAATGCCTGGGCCACACACATACACCAGGTGTGTGCTCAGAACAAGCTCACCTTGACTCTCTAGCAGAGCCCAGCAGCAACAGTTTTTGTGGGGGTTGTTAAAATGTGGGGAAAAAGGAAGAAGGGAAAAACAAAAAGAATTTAGCTGACAACATGCTTTCCACAGACGGAGAACAGCTTTCTCCTTGCATTTGAGAAGAAATGCAAGAGCCCACGGTGGTCTGCCCTCATCCACAGAGCTACACTGTTCCCAAACAATAAGCCTGTGGCTACAGCACAGCAGGAAAGGAAGAATTTACAGTTCAGCCCTACCTCCCCCTGCCAGTATACCAGGAAGGGAACAACCCCATGGAGGGCTGCAGGAGAAGGAGACAAGCTGCTTTACTGGGGGCACTGCTGTGTCCTGCCTCCTGGCAAAGGACTCTGAGCAAGACAGGAGGTATCCCCCCTCTGCACTCTGATCAGGGCTGCCTCCTTCCTCTCCCCCAAGCCAAGGGATGTGCTGATGGGAGATGTGCTTTCACAACAGCTCTGCTGGAGAGCTGCCCATCTGTACCTGGCACTGCCGCTCGTACTCCAGGACAATCTCTGCGAAGCATTCACTCTGGTTCAGGAGCTCTGGACTGTGGGACTCCACCTGGCCCAGCTGCATAAGCACGGGGAAATACCATTAAGGAAATGATCACCTTTCCAACTGGAAAGCCATAGCTCACAGTGTACACCCTACATGGGTGGAGGGGTTCATATGGACACCTGTAGGATGAGTTAGGTGCAGAAAGAGGAAAAGCATTTTCCTTCATGTATGAGACACCAAACTGCAGGCAGCCAGCTTTCCCAAACTGCCAAACAAGATCACAGATTCGTTTCTCTCCCCAGATCCATTTTACCAGGTGCCTTTCTGGAGTGGAAGACACTAAAAGTAACCACTTACATCAATACTTGTGAAAAAGAAAGGTTTTCTTTTCTGGAAACCAAACTCTGAAGTCCTTCACTTGAAGACTGCAGATTAGTAGAATATTCTGCAATTGCTAACTCTGCTAATCCTTTTTCTTATTTTTTCAAGCTTCAAAAGGCCTAAGTCAAAAGCCAGTATTTTTTCTTCCCCAGTTGCCATTAATGTGCAGGAGAGTTTGAAGAGGGGAAGACCATAACAACTGACCCAAAATACACAAGATCTCACAGAAAAAGGCCAATCTTTTGACGAGTTCCTCTAAAGTTCCTATTTACCTGCAACAGAGAAAGAAAGGCTACCTTGTCTTTCACAACAAAGTTGAGTTGTTTCTGCAACTCCAGCACCAGCTTCTCAGAGGCTTCCAGTTTCTCAGCCATCTCCGTCACCTTGTATTGCAGCTCTATGTTCTCCTGCAGACAAAAGGGAGAAGATTTTTGGGATATTGTGGGTCCTCACATTGCAGGAGGGGTTCACCAGCCACGGGCCTTCAGGAGGAAGCTGTAAAACAATTGGCATGTAAAACACAGCACAGCTCCCAAGAGATCCTGCTTCAGCCAACATGCTGCTGACACACACCACATGGGCTGGTGTTTGGTTTATCTCCAAAGGACAGACACAGGAGTGGGTTTTGCAGAGTAAGAGCTTACAGCCCCACAGGCTCATCTCCACCTCTGCTTCACAAAACTATGCTTTCCCCACAGCCAACAAAGGCAGCAAGTTCTGAGCTGTCTCTACCTGTACTTGTACACTGAACAGCACTGGGAAAATCCCAGGCACACGGACAGTGTCACATTTGCTTTTGGCATGGTCCCTGGCACAGTTTTAGCCTCAGCCATCAGGTGTTCAGGCATTGGCAAGGGCCAAACCACTCCTGACAGTCAACATGGGTGTTTAATAATGTCATGGGAAGGGAAAAAGTTCTGTATTTAATTCAATAGTATGGATGTGGCTGATGACTTTTTGCATAAAACTTCTTCCTTCCCAGCAAAACCAACACAAACCATTCATCTTTATCAGCACCTCTGCTCTGCCTCCTCTGAAAATGTTTCACCAGGGCAGTTCTACTTACCTTCATGGTGTGGTTCAGTTTCCCTTGCCAGCTGGCCTCTTCACCCCGGAAGAGCTGTATATCAGCCTCCAGCTTTGCTTGGTGACTGACTGCTTGCTGCAAAAGCAGGTCTTTAGCCTCTGTTTTTGCCTGAAAATCCCTGGGGGTGAAAGCAACATGGTTGGGGCACCTGGAGTGTGATCTCAGATGGCCACAAGGTCCAGACCCCCCCTCTCAGTAGACTGTATGGGGCTTCAGGGACTTCTGTCACTGACACAATGGCAAAACAAGTGGGAGATTCATAAAGAGATGGCAGGGAGAGGCTGCAAGGAACAAGAAAACATTTTCACTGCTCCACCAAAAGGACCCCTCGTACCTGAGCTTGCTCTGGGTGTGCTCAAGAGCAATGTACTGCTCATCCAGCTCCCTGCCAAGCTGCAGGCACCGTCTCTCCACTTTCTCCAAGTCCAGCCTTGCCTTGTCCCTCTCCCTGGCAACCTGCCTCACCTGGATCCTGCAGACATGGTGAGCAGTGCATTAAGAAACATCTCAGGCACCCCAGAGAAGGCCTGTTTTTACAGGGAGCAACACCCTTACTTGAGGCACTGCAGTTTGTATCTGTAGGACATGAGAGCTGCACACTGAAGCCCACTCCTGGAAACCATGAGTGTGTTGTCCAGCGCTGCAGGCAGCTCTGCCAGGCTCACCTGCTCCTCAGGTAGCTCCTCACGTGCTACTCAGCCTCTGCAAGGACAGCACAGCCTGAAATCACTCTCTCCCTCTTCTAACAGTGCAAGAGGACTTCTTTTGTCACACCATTTCACCACCCTCCAGTCTTTCAGAGATCTCCCTCCCATCTCACAGACACGCTTAGATCCCATTTACCCCCGATTTTCCCCAGCCCTAGGGTGGCCAAATCCTGCCACCCCATCATGAACCGGACTGGAAGTGCTTCATCCACCCTGGCTGCCTGTTTGCTGAAAGACCTTGCTGCTCACTTCACCCACCAAGACAGCACCAGAGACCTTGAGGATCTACTCTAAGTTCTTCCAAGGCTTACACTGCAATAAGATCAGGCTTTGCAAATCTAGTGCTGATGCTGGAAGGATGCACTGCTTCCCTGTGCACTCTCCTCTGAGGAAGAAAGTAGCAGAGGTAAGTCAGTGGGGCAAAACTGGTAGAGAAAAACTGACAGCTTTGGATACTGAAAGGAACCCCATCAGTACTAAAATGCTCTACAAACAACCCCAAGCTGACAAGATGTCCTGAGCTGCCCTTAAGGCAGCCATAGGGAGCAGTTTGGCAGGCACAGACCACGTGCTTTTATCTCCCTGCTAAGCAATGAAAACTCAGTATCCACAAGGAAGCCCAACATGGAAAATGAGAAGGTCTTGTGAAAGCTGTCAGATTGGGATTGCCAGACAACATTCTGTTTGCTCTAGAAGATAAATTTGGGCTGAGATCAGCTTCAAAGGTAAATGAGATTCAGCCAGGCTGAACTGAAAAGCAGAACCCATGCAGCCAATACAGAACTGGTGACATCTCCCAAGGGCACTGATTTCATACCAGGTTTGAAGAAGCCTGTCTTCAGAGAACTCTCACCTCAAAGTACTTAGCCAAAAGAACATGAAACAATTTTTATATATATATTTTTTTTTAACAGTTTTGCTCAGGACCCTGTGTGGAGCTCTCCTGGTTGGCAGGGTGATGACAGCCAATCCGCAGCACATTCCAGAGTCACAGATCATAGAACCATAAAATCAACTGGGTTGGAAAAGGCCTTTAAGATCATTAAGTCTAACCGTTACCCTAGCACTGCCAAGGCCACCACTAACCCACGTCACTGAGTGCCTCATTTACAGTTTTTGAACACTTGCAGGGACGGTGATTCCATCACTGCCCTGGGCAGCCTATTCCAATGCCTGAGCACCTTTTCTGAGAAAAGTTTTTCCTAATATCCAATCTAAACCTCCCCTGGTGCAGCTTGAGGCTGTTCCTCTTGTCCTATCACTTGTTACCTGAAAGAAGACACCAGTCACCTCTCCATCCTCCTTTCAGGCAGTTGTAGAAAGAGGTAAGGTCCCCCCTGAGCCTTCTCTTCTCCAGATTAAACACCCCCAGGTCCCCAGCTGTTCCCCATCACATTTGTGCTCCAGACCCTTCACCAACCCCACTGCCCTTCTCTGGCCCTGCTCGAGCACCTCAGTGTCTCTCTTGTAGTGAAGGGCCCAGAACTGAGCACAGGATTTGATATGCGGCCTCACCAGTGCCCAGTACAGAAGGATGATCACTGCCCTGGCTCTGCTGGCCACACTATTGCTGATACGGGCCATGATGAACATGATACAAGCTGCTCATGGAGCACTCCGTCAACAGCACCCCCAGGTCGTTTTCCAAGAGCAGCTTCCCCGCCGCTCCTCCCCGAGCCCGCAGCAGTACACGGGGCTCTCACGGCCCAAGAGCAGACCGCGCCGCCGCACCCGGTCTAAACCCACCCCATGACCCCGCCGCAAGGCCCCACTCACCGGCCCCCGCGCATGCGCCAATCCCGACCCTTGCGCACGCGCTGATCTCGCTCCGCGCATACGCGAGCAGCGCAGTCGCCCCGCCCCCCTTGCGCATGCGCACACTCACACCCCGCCCAGGCGCTGACCCTCCGCGCATGCCCAGTGGCCTCTTGGTGTTCGGCGGCAGCGGTGCCATTGGGTGTGCGTGTGGCGGGAGAGGGCAGCCCTCAGCTATGTCGGGGTCAGCGGGGTCCGGCGGCACGACCGGCTCGGCGCGGAAGCGGCTGATGAAGGAGGAGGACATGACGAAGGTGGAGTTCGAGACGAGCGAGGAGGTGGACGTGACGCCCACCTTCGACACCATGGGCCTGCGGGAGGACCTGCTGCGGGGCATCTATGCCTACGGTGTGTGGCTGGGCGGCGGCGACCAGGGGCGGAGGGAAGGGGGAATGGGGGCATGTGGCCAGGGGCTGCTGAGGCCTGTGGCGGGGCGGGCACCCGGATGTCGGGTAATGCGCCTGCGCGGTGGGGCCGCCGATCGCTCGGTTCCGGGACTGACCCGCTGATGGTAACGGCCGATTCCGCAGGTTTTGAGAAGCCCTCGGCCATCCAGCAGAGAGCCATCAAACAGATCATCAAGGGGAGAGACGTGATCGCCCAGTAAGTGGGGCTGCCGGCGGGGGGGCGTGGGCCGTGAGGAAACTGCGAGCTCGGTTCGGGGGCACTCACCTTTAAGCTAGAAGCAACGTCTGTCACTCATAGAATCACGGTCTGGTTTGGGTTGGAAGGGAAGCTAAAGCTCATCCACTTCCAACCCCGTGTCACAGACAGGGACACCTTCTAGTAGACAAGGTTGCCCCAAGCCCCGTCCAGCCTGGCCTTGAATGGTGCCAGGGATGAGGAATTTACCACTTATCTGGGCAGCCTGTGCCAGGGCCTTACCACTCCCATAGTGAGGTCTTCTTTCTTATATCTAACCTCAGTTTCACCTGTTTAAGTTTGAATCAATTACTTCTTGTCCTATTGCTATTGTCCCTGATAAAGAGCCCCTCTCTGGCATCCTTGTAGGCCGCATTCAGATATTGGTCATGGTCTCATGCTACTGCATGTCAGGATTAGGGAAATCACATCACAATCAAACAGAGTGAAACATGCACATGAGACAATGATCCAAACAGTTGTTGATGTTTCTTATGTTTAGGTAATAAAAGTTCAGTCAAGATGTGTTGAGAACCGTGTGTTCTCAAACAGTAGGGCTCTGAAACTCTTGGGAATGTTTTCTAGCAAAGCCAGTGAGAAAGAGAGACAACTGCAGTCTCAAGGAAAAAAAGTGAACAAAAGAAAACTTATTATGTTTCTAGAAATAAAGAAGGATATTGCATCCCACTGAAAAAGAAATATTTCTAGGTCACTAGAGGGAATTGCTAACCTTCCAAATTGTATTGGCTTATCGAACATTTACCTTAAAAGAAAAAAAGAATGATGAGTTGTAGGAATTTTAAGTGTTGGTCTGATAAGGAGTAGAGATGCAAAAGCTGAGGACCCTGTAGAGGCAGTGCTCTGCCTCTGATACTGTACTTGTCAAAGCTGCTTGTCTGCACATCATGCTGTGACCATAACCTCTGCAATGGAGACAGGCTGAGAGAGAGCTGGGCTTGTTCAGCCTGGGGAAGAGAAGGCTCCGTGGAGACCTTAGAGCAGCTTCCAGTGCCTAAAGAGGCCAACAAGAAATCTGGGGAGGGGCTTTTGACAGGACATGTACTGACATGACAAGAGGGAATGGCTTTAGACTGACAGAGAGGAGATTTATATGAGATACTAGGATTAAATTTTCTACTGTTAAGTTTATGAGGCACTGGAAAAGGTTGCCCAGGAAGCTGTGGATGCCCCATTCCTGGAACTTTGGATGGGGCTTGGAGCAGCCTGGTCTAGTTGAAGGTGTCCCTGCCCATGGCAGGGAGTTGGAACCAAATGAGCTTTAAGGTCCTTTCCAACCCAGACCATTCTTTGATTCTATACCTTTGTCAGATAGAGTGTTGGCAATATAGACTTCTTCGCAGTGAACAAGTGTCAAAGAGCAGAGGGGTGGAATATATTGAAATTGCCTGAATTGTTTATCCAGACTTCCGGAGTGTTCACCAAGCATCTGTTTCTCAGGTCACAGTCAGGAACAGGGAAGACGGCAACATTCTCCATCTCTGTTCTGCAATGCCTGGATATACAGGTACTCTTATAACATGTGGTAAAAGGTATTTTAAACTAAGTTGCTAGAGTCTTCTTCAGAAAAGCCTTAATTTTTTTAAGTGTATAAATGAAATTTCACATTGAAATCTTTTAATTATGGGCAGTGAACCTCAGACAAACTTCTGGCTGAAAATTTCAGCAGATTCTGAACAATTTCACTGTTAAACCCACTGTTTTAACAGTGCAAAATCTGTTCTGATAAAATCTTGCAGTTACAAAGTTGGCTATAACAGCTGATCCCTTTCACATATTAGAGGGCTAAATTAGTCTCCCAGCAGGCAGAATTGTCCTCAAATGATCCTAACGGCATCAGCAACCTGTCTGAACAGTTGGCACACAATGCACAGCATCAAACCTGGATTTTTGACTGACAAATGCTTGCTTTTGTTATAGTTGGGAGTGTCATGTCCATGCAATTGCTTTTTAATTACAACTTGAATGCGTACATGCTGTTGAATAAAATGATGATTTTATGTGGACCCTCTAAAATAAGGCTTAGATTGTTATTCACCCCTTAGTGCCTGAGGTATAAAATAGATGTTGCCTGTTCTAATTTAAAAGTTGATCTTTTTGCTTAATTACTATAAAGTGCTTATAATATTTTTCAAGCATGACACTGTCCATGTGCCATGAAAGGGTTTTATCTGATCTGAACGTACAGAATTAAAGTGACTTAAATTTGTATCTCTCCTTTTGCAATACTACAGACTTCTATAGTTGTTTTCAGAAATCAGGTTGGAATGAAAAATAACTTTCAAAGAACTGCATTAAGTCTTGTCAAAAGTAACTTCACTGAGAGGCTATTACTGTGTAAATGCTCTCTTTGTGAGCAGCTTCACAGGAGTACTGACCCTTGCAAACACTAGGTTTTATGACAAAATTCCAGTTAATCATTCAGATGTGACATTTCAGAGCAATGTGGATCCATAGTCTATCTTGCACGTACATACCAGCCCTGTGATTAACTGCTCTGTGATCACTTGTTTTAATCAGGTGCGTGAGACCCAGGCATTGATCTTGGCACCAACTCGGGAGCTGGCTGTACAGATTCAGAAGGTAGGAGCATTTAAATTATCATCTGTAAAGCACTTGCAAGGCTTGAGGCTGATCCTCAGGTGTTCCCCAGCAGAGCTCAAAGCTGCTGCTTTAGAAGGACAGCACTTTTAGAGCAGTTTTGAGCCCCCGGGGAACTGAGTTCCCATAGTTTGGAAATCTGCTTTTGAGGAGGTTTGGGTAACAAACGTAAAAAATCCTAACTGCTTGTGCTTACATCTCTTTAAAAACCCACTGTCTGGCAGACCTGCGTCCCTTCACAAATACAAACTTCATGGGAGATCAGTTATTTAAGCCATTCCTCTGTATCAACACAGGGTCTTCTTGCTCTGGGAGACTACATGAATGTCCAGTGTCACGCCTGCATCGGAGGGACCAACGTGGGTGAAGATATCCGAAAGCTGGATTATGGGCAGCATGTTGTTGCTGGCACTCCAGGTCGTGTGTTTGGTAAGGACATGTGGGAGGCTTCAGACCCGAGTTGAGCCATGGGAGTTGCCCGCAACTTTCGTGATCTTAGATTTGAAATAACATAAAAATTACATTAATCTGACACAACTCTTGTTAATGTGAAGTATAACAAGGTAGCAACTTCCTGTAGCAATATTTCATAGAATCATAGAATAGTTAGGGTTGGAAAGGACACTAACATCATCAAGTTCCAACCCCCTGCCACAGGCAGGCACACCTCGCTCTAAACCATATTACCCAAGGCCTCGTCCAACCTGGCCTTGAACACTGCCAGGGATGGAGCACTCACAACCTCCCTGGACAACCTATTCCAGTGCCTCACCACCCTAACAGGAAAGAATTTCCTCCTATATCCAATGTAAACTTCCCCTGTTTAAGTTTTAACCCATTACCCTTTGTCCTGTCACTACTGTCCCTAATGAAGAGTCCATCCCCAGCATCCCTGTAGGCCCCCTAATATTTGGAAAAAATTAGAGAGAAATCAATGGGAATAGTGTGTGGATTTTCCCTGATGCTTTTCATTGTTGACATGGTCCTTCATATGGTGGCATGGGAACAAAGAGTATTTTTTAAGGAGAAAATAGTACAATCCTAGGATATACTTCAGAATTTCGAGGGAGAAAGAAGCTGGGTCTACTTGTATATCAAAGTCAGGTCCACGTTCTCTGTGGACTGACCATCACTCTCTGTTAAATTGGATGCAGTTGTAGCTGGTACTTCTGGTTTCACTGCATGAAGTTTTTTGTGTTTACTGTCGGTGGCAGTTACCACAGTGATAGTGTTAGCCTTCAAGCTCCCGTGTTCTGGATCTCTGAGAGTCAACGCTTTCCCTTAGACAAGCTCCTGTCACTGAGAGAACACACAGAGCCATTCTCCACAAGTGAAAAATAAGTAATTAGCAACCATAGAACTGGGCTGGCTTTGAACAGCAACAAATAACAGGGCTTTCTGCAGCAGTATTAAGGGATTATAGAAAAATCTGCCCTTCCAAACAGGATGTGGATTTTCCCAGTTTGTTGATGAAAAGTTCATGCAGCAATTTGCATCTCTCACATTGGGGGAGACCAGGTCACCTGTCCTATGCACTTAGCAAGTGGCAACCCACAGCTTCGACACTAGGAGCTTTCCTGCAGTCAGTGCTCCCTTAGCTGGGCTCCAGAGACAGAGGGATCTAGGTTGAAGGATGCTATGGGCACCGTGTGGTTCTTGGATGTGCCTTCTATCACCAGACAGCTGTCCCTGTTGGCAGCAAAGGAAGGGCCTGTTCCTCTTCCACCAAATTGCCCTGGCAGGAGCTGGGAG